TTGTAAAATTAACACTGCAAGATAAATGCATAAAATTTTAAAAATGTTGTTTTATTTAAAAATAGAAAAAACATTTTGCCACAATTGTATAAATAGTGCAGTGTAGCAAGGTGTATTAGTGCATTAATGCTTTTTTGTTAATTACAGTCAGTCAGTATTAACATTATGATAATCCTTGCACATTATATTCTGCCCATAACAAACCAGCTCGAAGCACTTCTCAGATGACTGCTATCAAGTGTAATGATTTCATATTTGTAGGAAAATATGGCAGCTAATTAGACAGATCAACTTCTACTTCAGTGTGCATTTGTATACCACCCCTCACACAGGGTAGCGCTTCCAAGCACTTGTGTCAGAGTATGAGGCCGGGGGAGGGGGTGGGGGTGGACTGCAGGCACTGTCGAAGAGGAAAGTCTTCAAGTGCGATCTGAAGATGGGAAGGAAGGGGCAAGCGGAGGGTCAGAGCAAGGTCCCACAAACAGTCATGAAGTGAATGACCAGGACATTTATCAGGAAGAATTTTGGTTAGGACAGAGAACATCCTTCTCTTTTAGAATAGTGGACCTGCAATAGCAACCTCAAAAGGCAGACTTTGCTTTAATTATCAGTCAAATGGGACCTCTGACAATGCAGAACTTCCCTCTACTGCACTGGATCATCAACCTTGGCTCTGAACTCAAATCCCGTCCTAGGCTTAAACCCCAAAGCATCTGTCCTTGATGCCAGTGTGCTACCAACTGAGTCAGTCTGACACTGCATACTCATGGATTACTACTTTGATTAATTTGCTGACTTTGTGGACACCTGTCACCTACACTACATATGTGAAGTTGTCAGAAATAGTGTATATATAGCTAAAGGTCCCTGCCCCTGAGATGTCTTGAAGCTAATTACTAATTCACCAGCTACCCTTAAAGTTAATTAGATAGGAGGAATGACAGACGAGACTGGAAAAATTAACCAGGTGCTAAGAGATTTCAAATGATACAGAATGTGAGAGTTTGGGGGCCACATTCAACCATTACAGAGTAACACATAGCAAAGTGGATTCTCATTAAAACCTGAGAAGTTTAAAGGTAAAGAGAGAATCATCTGTAACAAATTCCCGGTGGTGGATGGAGGAAAAGAAGGACAGAAATAATGTGAAGGCTGAAATGCTTAATGGTCTATCTTCAAATTTAAGATTGTACAATATTGAAAAAAAATTCCTAAATTCAGCCTTTTTTTTCCATAGTTCTTATGCCACAACTTGCATTGCTATAGAGCCCTTTGTGTAGGATAATGTCTTGGAGCATTTCACAGAGAAAGGATTGGACAATGAGCAAGGGAGAGTGTGGAGAGGAAGGTGGTACATGCAAATTCTTCAAATGAATTTAAGAATTCCCCAAATTTCTATTTGGAAAAAACTGTTACACTTTCTCTAGCACAAACAACGAAGATGTGCAACAACAACAACAAAATTACATTTTAGAGCGCCTTTCACGTCAGGAGGATGTCCCAAAGCGCTGAAAAGTCAGATGTTGGGGGCCCAGCATAGGGGAAGGGTGGTGTAGGGGCAAGGGAAGGCAGAGAGGTGGGAGGGAGACCAAAGGCACGGTCAAAGAGAAAGGTCTTGACACCGGCTTTGAAGGATGTGAGGGAGGAAGCGAAGGGACCGTGGGATATCGATATCGTCATCCAGAGTGTGGTCGCAGAGAGGCTGAAAGCCCGGCCACTGATGGTAGGGCGGGTCGGGCGGGAAACATGGAGCAGGCTGGAGCCTGATGAGCGAAGGGAGCGGGCAGGTTGGTAGGGAGTCAGCAGGTCAGGGAGGTAAGAGAGGGCAAGGCCACGGATGGCTTAAAGGTAAGAACGAGGGTCTTGAACTCGATCCTCCGGGGGATGGGGAGCCAGTGGAGTCGGGTGAGGGTGGGAGTGATGGGGTCGCGGAGCCTGGTGCGTGAGAGTACACAAGCTGCAGAGTTTTGGATGATCTGCAGCTTGTGAAGGGAAGAATTGGGAAGGCCGATGAGGAAGGAGTTCCCGTAATCAAGCCTCGAGGTGATAAATGCATTGGTGAGGGTTTCGGCAGCCTGAGGGGTGAGGCAGTGGCGGAGTTTGGCAATGTTGCAGAGGTGGTGGTAGGTAGTGCCGGTCATGGCGCGGATGTGGGGGAGAAAGGACAGTTCAGGGTCTAACAAGATACCCAGGTTCCTGACTGGCTTAGTGAGGTTGAGTGTGCAGCCGTGGAGGCTGATGCTGCCAGTGCCTGAGGTGCGGAGGTGCTGACACGAGCCAATCAGGAGGGCCTCGGTCTTGCTGACGTTGAGTTGGAGAAAGTTGGCCCTCGTCCAGGACTTGATGTCGGACAGGCAGTCAGCCAGGACCTCAGTAGTCCTGGAGTTCAGGGTGGAGGCAGAGAGGTAGAGTTGGGTACCATCTGCATACATGTGGAAATTTACCCCATGTCTGCGGATGACATCACCATCTTTTAATTAGATAATACAGCATTGATAGAATAATGTCCTGAATTTGCCCATTCACCTATGATAATTTTTATTAAGTTATCAATGGACAGACCTTGCTGCACAGAACTACCAGTGAGATAAAAAAAGATGGAAATCATTGAGGCTTTTTCTAAAACTCAAGAGATATCGATCAGAGGATACATAGCTTAAGAGCCTCAGTGGTGTGAAAAGGGACTGATAAAAAATTTAGGATTAACAGCAGCCACAAACAGAGCATATTGCAACTTTACTGCTGCAGGTATCAATAAAAGTAAAATTAAATGAGCATTGAAATTATTCGACCCTGTGGAGAAAATACTAGACATACTAAAAATGCCAATTAAATAAACCTTTTGTACATCCTCAATAGGTTCATTGGAAGCAAAAGCACAAGGTGAAAGGGGACAAGTCTGTGGTTAGCATGAAAAAGCTGCTAGTTGTCGACAGATGTTTTAATGGGAGAAGGGGAAAGAAGACAGACACTCTCAGAAATGAGAAGTAATAACCCATTGAAACATGCACCTTTGCGATTGAGATGGGCTGACAAAGAAGTTAGATTGGAATATAAATGGAGACACGATTATTTCTCTAAAATTAATCTAAAGTAGATGATTTATGCTGAAGTGGGGATAGACCATGAGAAGCTACCCAAATGGGGCTCCCCAAAAAGTACCAGCTGAGTGTGGAAGGCAAGAGAATCACGCCACTTCTGAGAAACCTGGAACACAAAATTAGCTGATGTGAAATACTATGAAATGGGGATTAATGAGTTAAGGGGACCAGCCCCTGGGTAGGGTGCACGTGTCTTCATAAAACTGAAACAAAATATAAGCTATCACAATAATAATCCTTGCATTTGACCTTTCATGTCAGAGGGATCGATACCAAAGAGTGTAAGCTACCACCTTTTGGCAACATCAGTATTTAATATTAAACAGAGAGGAGTAGAAAACAATGGGGGGATGAGAATTAAAGAGTTATGTTTTATACGTCCTGAGGGATGCAGAGATGGAAAGCATGACAATGCATTGTCAAGGGAAAATAGGAGCAGGTGTAAAATCAGCTGGTAATGCTGTAAAGATAAGTTTTGTAATTGATGTAGCAACAACATTCACAGTCAGATGGAAACATTTGGAACGAAGAGAGACACTCTGAACATATTAAAAACGGTGGTGAATGGGATGCAGAGGAGGTATGGGGCAGGATAGAATAGATACAGTATCTAGAAAAATATAAAACAGGATAAAATGGATTCATATTGAAATCTACATACACTGCTGTTTGATACCAGATACACATACATTTGTTTAAACAGGATCTCTGCGGGAACATATGATTTACAATGAAAGTAGTGTTATAATACAACAACACCCCCACCCTTTTTTTAAGAAAAGCACATGGAATATACATGGTATGGATAAAACCATGTCGTTACAGGATGAAATTAAAGGTAAATAATGCAATTTGTGTCATTGTATATATTATGATATTGTTAGTCACCTGAATTTATACTTTCTTTCATATTCCCTGGTTTACGAGTCAGGCATTCAGCAGTCTAAACACCCAGACCACATGAAGAACTGTTTTGTTAGTAATTTGTGGTTTGACAACATTTTACACACATCAGAGGCAAAAAGATCTCATGCAGGATTGTAAATTGAGTTTACACCAAGAATATATGTGTATAATAATGACAAACCGTGGTCCAGATCTTCGTAATTACCAGGTTGTGAATGAGTTGTAGTCAGCCTCACACATTAAGTCCTGACAACACTGAAGTGTCAGGATACCCTATCTACCCTTCAAAACAAGTCATCTGAAACCTCTCTGTCATTGCTATACAACCATTTAAATAGGATTTTCTTCCTCATAGGCGTCTGTCGATGAGTGTTATAAACACGTGCAATTACCCCGGTCGTACAGTTTGTCAGTCAGTTTGGTGAGTCAGTAATCATCAAGTGGATCAAACACATCCTGGTCTTCCAACTCTCCATCTCTCTGCCAACTAATCTGATTTGCTCTTAGGGTTTAAACTTCATACTATGATTTCTAGATTTAGAAACCCACTTCAAAATGTTATTTTCATATGCTATTAGATGGAAATCTAAAAAATTCAGATTGGTTACATTTTTCCTTCCTTGTAAGCCATGCGTGCCAACAAACAAAAATGGACCTATGATTTGGGAGATCGAAACCTCTGATTTCACCATGTTCATGTGCTGCTTAGTTGTTGTAATTATGGACCATGTTTGCCAATTACCCAGTTGCAGTTTTGCCCTTCGTGTGAACACCCAGCTTCCATAGAACACTCCATCTTAGCGAGGGATTTGCAAAATCTCACCCAGCTCAGGAAATGAAGAAGTCCAATAAAAAAGGCAGGTCCTGAGACTCCGATCTCCAAAATAAAAGATTGGCTACTTAGCCTCTGAATTACCAAACAAATTGACTAATTGCTCAAAGAAATGACTGTGGGAATTTCACATTAATTAATTGATCACAATGCAGACTTACCTGGAAATCCTGATCGTCAATTCCAAACCTCTCTCTAAGATTTCGGAAGACCATAGGGCAGTACTCCTTAAACTTAAAGTGACTGGGCATGTTCTCCCTGGTAAACAGACATGATAAATCTTAGATACTGCTCTGTATAAATATTATTAGGTTCAAGCTAACTAATCATTTTAGTTCAAAATTACTGGAATATTAAATTGCATGTAGTAGAAAACTTTTGTTCAATGCATATTTACGCAGTTATTAGGAGGTACAGTGGATTAAGCAGTGGATTAAAGCATGTTACCCGCTCACTCTTAAAATCATCATGGAATCGAACAGACAGAAGGGATAAATGACATCAGAGGTTGAAGATTAAGGCTGTATCTATCTTAAAAGTGTTTGGTGCACGGATCTCCACCCCTGACCTTACTGCAGACAAGCTTCCTTGCTTATATGTAATTTTAATGAAGAAACTCCTTAGTCATGATTCAACTCCTGACCATTTCCACAACATTTAAGACTTGGACTTAACAAGACATGAAAGACTTAGTATTTCATTTACCTTCATTTTCCTTCCTGCTTATGAGAAGTGAATGCTGGGATGAGGCTAAATAGTGAATTATGTTTTGTCATTTAGTCTGGAATACATGCTATTAACCCTGCAAGCCAAAATTTCTTTCTTGCTCACTTGAATATATATTTTGCTCTTTATTCCACCTATGGGATCTACCCTATAATAAATCAAATAATCATCATTAATGCAAGAGACTGGACAATGAGCATGATATTTAACAAGATTGTTTTGGTCAGCAGGGTATCTGACATATAAAAACCAATCACCATGCTTAGGTCTCCAAACTAAACTAATGAGAGTTTTACATACTGTTTGTATGGTTTTCATTTATTTGATAATGGAATGTTCACCATATATCCTGATTACCCTCTTCCAAAGAATTTAGGAGCAGGTTGGCTAGAAGTAAAGATTAGCGACCCAAAGTATGCACCAGCATAATGGTGGAGTTTAACCAGTTAAAACACACACACGCAGCCTACCATTGCACAGCAGAAGTGAACTTCTCACTGTTTTTGTCCATCTAGGATCATCCTACCAGTTAGGGCTTCAGCTGTGATTATCAGGAGCTGAGTGAAAATAACCTCAGTCATCAATGACTGATCTGTTCCTCCTGGATCAACCAATGAGGAGGCTGACTAGTTCGCTATTGACTGGAGATTGAATCTGGGACCGTCTCAGTCCAAATGCGTCATTGGATAATTTTCCTGAACCACAAAAATGCCGAGGATTTTCTAAGCACAGCAATCAAAATAGGCAGACCAATTGTATAGAGAATACAAATTTCATTGGATGAGTATCAGATTACCAATCTCCCATAGGGAACAGAATTGTAATACGTTTTTTGCTGAGGTCTGCCATTTTAAGAGCTCCCACTGTATAGCTGAATTTCAGTTTGCAAAAATAGTTTGATTGTTAAATCAACTGGAACAGATTATTTGCATTGTTTGGGGGAAAAAACCTCCATTAGAGTCAGAAAATACAAGTTTATTGAGGCTACTAAATCCCAAAAGGCCATTTGTATTTTTTGACACCTAGATGCACAAGCCTAACTTTATTATCTGAAGGTGTAATTGTGTCTTCAGTTTATGAAAATATTGGGGAGGAATGAAACAAAGATCAATCTGCCTTGGATGTGTTTTCATAGGATGCTGTAGCATTTTTCTTTGGCTTGTATTTAATTCAGCATCTTTTCCGCAATTTTCACAATAATAATAATCCTTGCATTTGATATAGCACCTTTTCACATCTTCAAGATGTCTCAAAGCGCTTCACAGCATATACTGTAAAGTGTAGTGACTGTGTATTTTGTAGGCGAAATCTGGCAGCCAATTGCACACAACAGTGTACAATTTACAAATATATAGCAATTTTCACGTCCCAAAGCACATGCACAGGGGCACCCAAACTGGAGGTGGGATAGGTCTAAAGATCATAACTGTGATAAAGTAATAGTTCGATTCCATGCTGCTTGTCATAATAGAGCAAACAAATTCTTGCTGTAATGGCACACATTTTAAACAGGATAGTACTTGCCTTCAATCTTGTATGTTATTTATTTTAGAGCACAAATCGACTATTTTTGCTTCAGAATCCTATAGTAGATAAAATATTTCAACACATCCACCAATTATAATAACATTCCTTGCATTTGGTATAGCGTCTTTCACATCGGGAGGACGTCCCACAGCGCTTCACAGGATTTACTGTGAAGCGGAGTGACTGTATATGTGGGCGATTGAGGCAGCCAATTTGTGCACACCAAAGTCCCGCAAACAATTTTATATGGGGGATTTATTGGCTAGGCCAATGGGAGAAACTCACTTCTCTTTTCATACTGTGCCATGGGATCTTTAACGGCCACCTGGACAGGCAGAAGGGACCTTGGTGTAATGTCTTATCCAAAGGATGGCACCTCCAGTAATACAACACTTCCCCATTGCTGCGTTGGAGTGTCAGCTAAGACTATGTGAGTTCAAGTTCTGACCTGGGCTTGAATCTACAACCTTCTGACCCATAAGTAAGAGCTAAGCTGACACCACAATTTTTTTTTAAGTGGCAGGGGCAAATGATTTATAAAATACAGTAAACACCTGGGCCTGAAACCTAATTTTTTTTCTACAGGCACTTACGTATGTTGACTTTGAATCATTACATTGTTGCTAAATTATATATAGTGGCAACCACTCTTGTCAGAAACGAACTGTTGAAAATAACACAAATGGTGAAAATGGGACTTTATACATAAATGTCATGTTTTCAAGGGCTTGTTTAAGCCACTTGCGTTTCCTGTTCAAAGTGATCATATGGTGGCTATTTGATACAGGTTGGACTCAAGCCTCGAAACTTGCATTGATCAATTAGGTTCTGCAGACAGCGACAACACATCACATTGCTGCATCTGTGCACCAAACTTTTTAAGTTTAAATCAAGCCCCTAACAGTATTTCTTGCTTATTACACTATCTGTAAAAGACTAAAGACTAAACCATTTGAAATTGGTTTAAAGGCTTATATATTCCGTGCTGTATTCTTTCACCAAACATCAGTCGAAATATTCTTATTACGCCAGCATTTACTGTCTTGTATTTGGTGAAATTTGCTCTACAGGAAATATAAATCTTAGATCTTTCTATCGTAGCCAACATAGCAGGCATGTAGCTGCTGTAGCTAAGCTTCCGCTGTAGAATCAAAATAGAAAAAAATATTCAAAAGATTTAAGCACACTTTTGATAGCAATCAGCAGAACAGAAAACCACCAGAGTACAACTTCCAACCTAGAGAATGACATTTTCTGCATAAACGCAATTGCTAAGATCAAGAAAAATAACACAAGTTCTCATCTATAATCCTAACTTCACTGGGTCATAAAATGTGAGATATGAATTTTGTTACTTGCACGGCATAATTTGTGTTTTTTTTAAAAAAAAACATCTGTGGTCAACAGAAAGGCTGAATTCAACCAAGTGTGAACGTGTTACAATTTCTGCAAACTGCAGCAAATTGCACACAATCTCTCAAAAGCACTATCCTCCTGGTACATGGAGGAGGGGATGAGAGTAATCACGTTCCTTGTAGCTGATGTGGCTCAGTTGGCAACAAAATGTCCAATTCCTGAGCCGAGCAGGTCCGCATTACTCGAGGAAATGCTGATGAAAAGGCGCCAGGTCTGGCTCTTCAGTGGATGATGAGTCACCGGGAGCAGGTCATGCTAACCCCGCAAGTCAATGTCCTAACCCATAAGCTGGGCCAACAGAAAAGTGTGGACGCACTTTTTCTGTGGAAACCGCTACAAACGGCCTCATCCGTGACAAACAAACCCTCCGCTACAAACCTGTACACACAGTGTGCTAGCCCCCGCTACACTCCTGTACACACAGTGTGCTAGCCCCCGCTACACTCCTGTACACACAGTGTGCTAGCCCCCGCTACACTCCTGTACACAGTGTGCTAGCCCCCACTACACTCCTGTACACACAGTGTGCTAGCCCCCACTACACTCCTGTACACACAGTGTGCTAGCCCCCGCTACACTCCTGTACACAGTGTGCTAGCCCCCACTACACTCCTGTACACACAGTGTGCTAGCCCCCACTACACTCCTGTACACACAGTGTGCTAGCCCCCACTACACTCCTGTACACACAGTGTGCTAGCCCCCACTACACTCCTGTACACAGTGTGCTAGCCCCCACTACACTCCTGTACACAGTGTGCTAGCCCCCGCTACACTCCTGTACACACAGTGTGCTAGCCCCCACTACACTCCTGTACACACAGTGTGCTAGCCCCCACTACACTCCTGTACACACAGTGTGCTAGCCCCCACTACACTCCTGTACAGTGTGCTAGCCCCCACTACACTCCTGTACACAGTGTGCTAGCCCCCGCTATACTCCTGTACACACAGTGTGCTAGCCCCCACTACACTCCTGTACACACAGTGTGCTAGCCCCCGCTATACTCCTGTACACAGTGTGCTAGCCCCCACTATACTCCTGTACACACAGTGTGCTAGCCCCCGCTATACTCCTGTACACACAGTGTGCTAGCCCCCACTACACTCCTGTACACACAGTGTGCTAGCCCCCACTACACTCCTGTACACACAGTGTGCTAGCCCCCACTACACTCCTGTACACACAGTGTGCTAGCCCCCACTACACTCCTGTACACAGTGTGCTAGCCCCCACTACACTCCTGTACACAGTGTGCTAGCCCCCGCTACACTCCTGTACACACAGTGTGCTAGCCCCCACTACACTCCTGTACACACAGTGTGCTAGCCCCCACTACACTCCTGTACAGTGTGTGCTAGCCCCCGCTATACTCCTGTACACACAGTGTGCTAGCCCCCACTACACTCCTGTACACACAGTGTGCTAGCCCCCACTACACTCCTGTACAGTGTGCTAGCCCCCACTACACTCCTGTACACTGTGTGCTAGCCCCCACTACACTCCTGTACACAGTGTGCTAGCCCCCACTACACTCCTGTACACACAGTGTGCTAGCCCCCGCTATACTCCTGTATACAGTGTGCTA